AGAATCAATATCCGAAGTTCCCTCTTACTGCTGACTCAACTCAACAACAACAACAACAACAACAACAACAACAACAACAACAACAACAACAACAACAACAACAACAAGTCCACCATAGCTATGGCTTCCCTCCTTCAGCCTCCTCTCTCATGCATAGGCTATGGTGGACTAATGAGGGTCCTGCCCTCCTGTCCAAGAGACAACCCAAGCAGCTATGGTGCTGCGCTGATGTCCAAAGGACAACCCAGAGCAGCTATGGTGCTGTGCTGATGTCCAAAGGACAACCCAAAGCAGCTATGCCGCTGCTGACTGTTCCGCCATGCCTGACTCTGCCTCGAGCTTCCTTGGTGCAGCACTACCCCAACTGGGGCCTTCCAGATGCAGCGCCCAACAAGGTGATGAAGATGGTGTCTGCCATAGCCAGGTAAGTGCCTTGCCACTCTCCTCCTTCGCCCCCTTCTTCCTCCTCCTCAATCTGGACTGCTCGCCATAGCCAGGCGGAGCTCCAGCTGCCCTTCACCTCCAAGCAGCGCTGTACCAGACCAGCGCTGTGCTCCAGCAGCATGTCGCCAATCCTTGCATACCGCAAATGAGGAGGAACTACTTGCTCCTCCGAAAGATATAGCGGCCTACTGGCCTCCTGGGGGGTGACTTCCTAGGCCGAGCGGCCTCCCAGCAACCGGTACCTCCTCCCTTTCGGAGGGAAACATCATTGCAGGCTCCGCTAACCTCCGGACAGGCCCTAGACCCGGGCTACTTGGACTGGTACCGGCCTACCTCTAACCTACCGCTACTGGGCCTCTAAAAATGCCAACTTTTTGTCTTCTTCTGCTCAGCCTCCAGTACCCGACACTTCTACCACTACTTTAGTGGTACCGGCCTACCTGCTACTTGAGTGTTTTTCCCCTCTGCTCTAAGTGCCGCGGGCCTGCTCTAAGTGCCGTGGGCCTACCCCCGCTACTCGAGTGTTTTCCCCCCTGCAACCCTTCACAGTCACGGCCACAGGTATGTACCAGCCCTGGGGGGCCTTGCAACCAACAAGTACCCTTGCGGGTCACACACACACTCAACCGACAAGCACTCAGACAGGCATGCAAACCAGCAGGCACGCACACACACACAGACATGGAAATCACAGCAGAATGCGGGAATTTCAGCAAGGCATTCATTCCAGCGGCAAATCCCAGAAATCAGCAGTGTTCTCAGTCTGTGTTTTTGGCGGGTCATTACACATATGGGTTATGTTCTGGTGAAGCCGGCAGCACCCGCAAGGGATGTTTTACCGCCCCAAAAAAGAAACATGGAGTGGGAAGCACTCAGCCACTACAAACTGCCCTTGGCCTAAAGAACAACCCTAGGGATCACGCATACGCCTAGTAGATGGTGGAGAAAAACCCTAGGGATCAGGCTGGAATTGAGCTCAGATACATTCAGCAATTTGAAAGTGCTATGTTTGCATGGGTCCCCCTCTATGTAGCCTTAGCAGTAGTGTTACATAGGTAGTGAAAGGCAAAAAATAATTTGAGAGAAAAATATAGTGTAGTTACAAAAAAAAAAAAGGGTTCTCAAACGAGGGTCGCATTGGGCCATACCTACCTCAAGGGAGTAGCCAATTTGCATTTCTCTCTCTCTCTCTCTCTCTCTCTCTCTCTCTCTCTCTCCCCCTCCCTCCTGTGACAAAGGGGAATTTTGCATTTGTACCCTACTTTAAGATGGGAATACTCGCTATACCCAGTCTCAGCACCAACATGTATATACAACCCAGATGCTGTCCGACTTAGAGCGTGGTTCGACACTCCTCAGCGCGTCCTCGGGCTCTGAGGACAAATCCTCGGAGTTTTTTTTTATTTTTCGAGGTGTCGTTCCACCTGTCCTCGGAGAATCGCCCCGAGGACGAATCCTCGGGGCCCTCCTGCGGCCAGTTTCATGAGATTACAGACGGCCGCGAGGGGCTTGTCCGGCCTCCGAATCCGGATGTTCGTGTAGGAGTCGTGGTGGTCAGTGCTGGACCCATGAACGTGACCGGCACCGGTCACTTGAATGTGACCGGCCGTTCATTTGGTGTTTTTTTTGTGAACGGGCTGTTCATGGTGAACGGGCCGACCACTAAAGAGTGGTTTTTTTTTTTTTTTTTTTTTTCCTTTTCATTTTTGGGCTCCCCCAGGTACATTCGCCTCAAGACCCACAGCGTGGTGACATTGAAAAAAAATAAAAAATCGAAATGACCTACAAAATAGCAAAAGAAAATGCTTATTTTGGCTGGTTGATTTTTCCTTTTTTTCATTTTTAATTAGAAAAAAATATTATTCGTGAAAAAAAAATTTGAAAAAATTATAGGGAGTTACCCTTCGATATCCCCCACCCTCCTATAAAAATTAAAACATACCCCCCCAGCCAAAAAACATAAAAATAAAAAAATACCGCTCTCCGTGAACTCCATGAACTCCCGTGTCGTGAACTCCGTGAACTCTATGACCGGCTCCGTTCACAGACCCCGTGAACGGTGAACGGGGGTACGGCACTGGTGGTGGTCCAAAAGGCGAAGGACGGGAATGCGTCAAGGGCCCTGGAAAAGAAAATCGGCAAGGCGGGAACGGCCCCGTTCGAAATTCGAAATTCGAATTTTCTTCTTGCGTAGTGACGTGGTGGCGGCGCACAGGCGGGTCGTCGAGGGGGCACTCCACACCTCGCAGGGTTTTGGTTGCCATCGCGTTGTGTATTTCTGCGCCGCCGCACTGCCACTGTGGTCGACGTAGCGAAACGCTCAAGTGTGGTCGACGCGGCAAATTGAAGACGTCCGATCGGCAGTTGCGCTCACCACGTGGAGCCGCGCGGCGGTTTCGTACTTCAGCGGTGGTGGGCGGCCGCTCCAACCGGGGCGGAACATCGTTCGGCAGGGCTGTCCTCCTCACCTGGTCGCAGGCGTGTTCAATCGTGGTGGCAGAGGTACACGCAGGTGAGTGGCTGTGGACGTTGTTTTTCGTGTGGAAGGGCGTCATGGAGGGCTGCGATGGCGATGTCCGTGTTGTGCTATCGACAAGGGAGAAGACAACTGTTGCGGCGGCTGCGGTTGCCGTTGTCCGTCGTTTCCAATTGGAGAGGGCGGTCGGGCGCATGAAGGAAGCGCTTTCGAGGCGGTGGCAGAGGCTTCTGCTGCAGAGGGTGTTGGACGCCCCGGACTGCATCTCCACTTCGGAGGCCGTGGTTCAGCTGTGCGCTGCAATTGGGTGCGGTTTGCTTCTTCGGGCGACGCCACGTTGGTGGATGAGGCGGAGAACAGGCGGGACTTAAGAGGATTTGCGGGTGTGCAATGACGCGACATAAAACTACTTCCGTGAAAAGCTCCACATGTCCAGGAGAGTGTTCATGGAGATCAGTGAAGCCTGTGCGCCTCATTTGCAACGACAGGTGACGTTTTACAGGGAACCACTTCAGTCGGAGCAGATCGTCGCGTACGCGCTCTATAGGTGGGCTACAGGAGAGTCATACGAGAACAACACATCATCCTTCGGCATAGGCAGGACTTCCGGAGTTTGAGCCGTGCGCGATGTGATAGCCGCTTTGTTGAGGGCGTAGGGGACAAGATATCGTGGCCGACTGGGCTGCGGAAACACGTCGTGCTACGGGCGTTTCTGGAGAAGGGCTTTCCCAACTGCCATGGCGCAGTTGACTGCACACATATCTACGTGGACAAACCGGCGAACGCGTCGAGTGAGAACTACTTCGACCGCAAGCACCATTTCTCCGTCATTGCGCAGGTGGTGATGGACCTGGATCTGCGCGTGCTTGACGTGTTCATTGGATATCCGGGGAGCTGCCACAACATTAGGGTGATCCAACTGTCAAGTCTGTTGAGGCGAGCGGAAGAGGGACTGCTGTTTCGAGGGCCGCCTGTCACGCTGCCGGAAGGGGTGAGGACGAACGGATACATCTTGGGCGACAACGGGTATCCTCCTTCTGAATGGGTAGTGGTGCCATACGGAGGAATCAATCAGCACCCGGACGAGGAAAGGTTCGACACGAAACAGAAGGTCGCAAGAGGGGCTGTGGAGAGGGTGTTCGGGAGGTTGAAGGGTAAGTGGAGGCTCTTCCTTCGGACGCACAAGACGAACCTCGACACTCTACCGCAGTAGTTTACGGCAGTCTGCATTCTCCACAACATCCTGCTCGATGCCGGTATCGAGTTCGACGAGAATTTGTTGTGGGAGGTCGATGAGAACGGGGTGAGGCGTCGCGTGGACCAGGGGATTCATCGTCCCCCGCAGCCAGTGATGATGTTGACTTCGACGCACACGGCTCACACGCTCCGCAATGCGCTGGCGGAGTGAATGAAACACATGTGATCTTGCCTGCTGCCTGCCTGTTTGTCCCCTTCAATCCGTGTTCCGCCATTGTAGATCAACAGCGCATGCGTCTTCCGCTTACGCGCTCGATTGCTTCGGAGGGTTCGCCGTCGCGGACGGGTTGTTTTTAGGTGTTTTTTGTTGTAGTCGAGGGCAAACTTGTTGTCCAGTTCATCGATCATTGGCAGTGATGCGGGTTCATTGTTGTTGTGGTCGCCGCAACGGTAGTGTGTTTGTTTTCTGGCTCGTCATTGTTGTTGTAGCCGACGAAATGGTATTCCCGCGCAATTTCCGTGGAATCCGGGACGAGAAATAGGCGAGAGGGGGGGGGTTGGGGGGGGGGGGGGGGGGGGGGGGGGGGCCCGGGAGGTGAGGGCCGACACGAAGAAATTCGTCAGCCCGCTGTTTTACCAAGTGCTTTACAGCGCAGTTTTCCTTGAACTTGAACGGTGTGTGCTTTCTTATGATGTTTGTGTGAGGACGTGTTCGTGCGTCCAACTACTATCCTTCTTTCGAGCACACATGTTTTTTCTCAACTACATGGAATGTCTGTCATGTATGTCGTCTACGCGTCTTTGCGTTTGCTAAATACAGTCGGAAAAGCTTCGTTGTTCTACTAATGACTCACGTGCATTGAAAAATAAATGAAAGAAAAACTCATGAAAGATGTGTTTATTCGGCAACTGCGTGGTGACCATCCATTTATTTTTTTTTCCCTTTATTTTGGCTTTCGTGCGGTGCGCACGATCATCAGGTTTTAGCGATGGCATCATGAAGGGAAACACGGGCAGCAAACAGAAAAGGATGCCAACGAAAGTGTGTGGATAGGTTCCTTCATGTTTTCCTTGTTTTCTTTTGCTTTCTCAGATGCCGGCGATGATAACAACGCCACGAGTCGACGACCGAATGAGTATGCCGCATACAAAAGAAGATGTGGACGAGCATGTGATGACCATTAACGCCTGTGTTACAAGATAAACCCACACAGACGACAACAAAACGAGCATTGCGTACGCAATCGTAAGCATGCACACACACGCCGTCGACACAGAAACATAAATTCGAGGAAATCATTTGAATAACACAACAAAGTTCAGGCGGCGATCCACTTCTCTCCTACCTGTCCACCGTTAAAGCGGCCCACACCGAAGACGCACTACTCCTGCCATTTACGTACCTTTCGGTGGTGTCATCCACCGAGCTAAGAAACCCTTTTGTGGAGCACAAGTGTAAAGTGTGCTTCGATCACAAAAAAAAAAAAAAAAAAAAAAAAAACAATAAAGCGTTCACAAGACATGTTCTACGATGCCATCTGCTGACGTCGGCACGACATCTGGTGACGTCGCCACGCCGTTGGACCGCTCGGTGCCAGTCCTGCCACCTGCTGACGTCGCCACGCCGTTCGAGCTGCGCAGGACTGGCCAGCTCACCTTTCCCCCAGCTCAACCACCAATACCCGCCAACACCCGTCCTTCCGTGCGCCAACGTCTGCAGTCGAAGGCGGCTAGTTGGTCGTTTCGTGATCCCCCTCGCCAATCGGTCGTCGATCCGCACCCCGCCGCTGCGTTGTGGACAAACCGACCTGTCAACTCCCGTCATCTGCATCATCCTCCGTCGGGGGCCCGCTGCCGATCCAGCCGTGTTTCGCGGCTTCCGCTGCATTCTTCGGGGTCGCGTTATGCCTTAACACCAAACCACAATCAGACCATTTCGGAATGCAATGCGGGTAATCTCCCAGCGTCAGGTGAGCCTTCCCTATACGATCCAAAACGAGGTTGGCGGTGTCGACGATGTTTCGCCGCCAGTCGAAGATGTAGGACCCCGCCGCTATCATTGTGGGTTTGGCGACCATGGACACGTAGAACCACGCCTCGTAGTTTGATTGGTCATTGTCACCACCCATGCGCATGATCCACATGCACGCGCTCAACAACGCTCGAAGACAATCCGCAAGCCGAGACAACCTCTCCTGTTTCACGCAGCCGTCGTCCGCCCATTGTCCACACCAGACTGCATTTGTCCAGCAGTCTGCCACGCGAAGAACTGTCGTCTCCTGTCGTGCCGCCATGTCGTCGTCTTCAGGCCGGTCCACAATCTTCACCCCCGCGAACCACAGAGGAACGTCCATCTTCATCGCCAGCGTGTGGTAGACCATGGCAGGGGAAACCACTTTCGACCATTCGTATCCCTGCCAAACTGCTCGTGCGACGTCTGTAACTAAGTCCACGCTGATGTACGACTCTGCACGAGCGAAGCCAGTCGACCTCGACGACGATTTGAAGATCCAGCCGTGGATGGTGCGCAACACCAGTTTTTCCACGTTGCGCGCTCTGCGCAAAGCGGGTTTGCGCTGCGCAGGGTCCTCGATCTTGAAGCGCGACACATCATTCGGCGGCATTACGAGCGTCGCAGGCGGTTCAGCTAATGCATCTCCGTTAGCGATGACGACGAAGTAGTCCACTCAGTCGCCTACCGCCTCCCTCAATGGTTTCCGCGGGCCCTGACCCCAGAAAGCGTTGCAATCAACCCACAACTTCGACCTCTCCTCCACATCGTCCTCCTTTGCCGCACCCTTCAACCTCGTGACAAGTGGACGGTCGTCGTCGTCATCGCCCTCCCGCTTTCCATCTCTTCTCCCATCGTCGCGACGGACGTCATCGACCCTCGCCTCCTCCGCACCTTCGGCGACTACGCTTCTACTGCTGTGATCCACCGCCGCCGTATGAGTGTCGCTCGCTGTCGCGTCGCCCTTTTGCACGGACGGTGCTTTGCCTCCACCTGAAGCCCCCGCCTGTTGCAGGGGGAGTGGCTGACGTGGATGACCCTGGCCCCCCACCACCGGAAGTTGCCTCAAAACGCGCGCCTCCGTGATGAGAACCCCTGCCGCCTTCGGGGTCCTCGGCAACGTCCCGGCGCCACCAACAACGAGGCTCTGTTTGATAGCGGACAACTGTTCCCTCGACACCCCATCCCGCCCAAAACCCAATCGCATCGCCCCTGCTGTCCCTTGCGGATCCACCATCACCACTTCCTCTGCCTGGAAGTCGTCATTGTGTTCGGAGCTAGCCTGGTCGACGCGCTGCCTTTTCGACTTTGGCACGTGGCCTCTGCCTTTTTGGGTTTCCCCCCCATCCCCTACTCCGCTATCTTTCCTGCCCTTCCCTGAGGCATTCCTCGGTGCCATCTCGTCCGCAAATCGGGAACGACAACCACGTGGATGAAGGAGGACGTCGATGAAGGACCACGTGGACGGTGGACGCGTGGAGGTCGACGACGGGCACGTGGCCGAAGAAGCACGTGGATGATGCGCAGGAAGGGGCACTGGCCACGGAGCCGTGACAATGATGGCGACGTTCGAGGAGGCGCACGTGCTTGATGCGCATGAAGGGGCACTGCCAGCGGAGTCGAAAGCGGAAGCGTGGAGTGGCGAAGTGGATGTGCAGGCCTGTAACGACGACTCAGTGCACAAACAGTGTCGTTGGAGCCGTGGGAAATGAATCACTGTCGTACGGAGTGCCGCCCGTACTCTCCTTTTGTACATACCGTGCTCTCGCAGCACACCATGGACACGCCTCGCCGTCCACAAGAGCCCGCCCCTTCGCCGATCACGCACGAACCATTTTCCCCACCGGCTGCTGCTGATCCCTCACATGGCCAACAACGCATGCGGGCGCACGAGAAGACCCTGGGGGAGGTCGAAAGAGCCCGCCACATATCCTTCGTCCGCCAACCCCAAAAACTCGAGGCACCCCTGTCCGCCATTTCCCCCCCTCCCGTCTGAAAAATACACCCTGGCACCTATTCCTTCACCGACACCCCCCCAAACAAGACCCTGGTGGATCGCCATCCACGCGTGACGGCAGCGCCCCACAACACCAGCCGTTAAACAGTGTTCAAAATCGGAGGTCCTAATGTAAAACCGAAGGACGCGCCGCACGGCATGACAACAATGAATACCCTGCACACTCATCCAAGAAATGCACGCTTAAAAAAAAACTGTGGTGCCAAAAACGATCCGCCGTCTCGCCACAATCTGCCCAACACCGCACTGCAGCACGCAGGACGGCGGCAGCGCCGATGCTCCGGAAGTGCACACGTGGCATTCGCGTGGACGTAGGACATGTGTGGCCCAGCGGCATTAGGATCGCTCGCGGATCGCTTTAGCAATCTCCAGAAGGGCGTTGCACATCATGAAGTTCGCATGGTCGGCCTTCACGTAGTGTTCCTTCTGCACTTCTAGCTCTCGCTCTAGAATGTCGGATTGCCTCGTCAGAATTGAGCACTGCCTCTTGCTCGCGATGTCCACCGTCGTCGCCATCAGATTCTCGTGGTCCTTCATGACGTCCGCAATCGTGTCGAAGGTCTGTTGTCTTACATTCTTTCGTTTGTCGCCCCCGCCACCACCAACGCCGTTGAACGTTGAATCCCTCGTCGATCCCTGATCGTCGTCCTGTCCATCCTCGCATCCCTCGCTACCGCCGGATTCATTCCGACCTCCACGTGGACAGGGCATTTGAACACCTCCGGCCACACCCGTGTCCACGAGATTCGTGGGGTGTATAGTGTGATTGCCCCTGGACATGGCCTTCATCTCCGAATACACACGGTCATCCATCTGAAAATCGAACCCCCGCTCCTTCCTCTCCCCCGGCGTTAGTGTGAAGAAATTTGGCTTCCCCGATTTTCCCATGAACTTGTGCACGGTTTTGAACTGTTGGTACAAGTTGTCCCATTTTTTCATGCAGTCCTCGGCCTTTCTACTCGTCACCCCCATCTGCATGAGCCTCTTCTCGACGTCGTCCCACTTCCATGTCTTCGTCTTCATCCTTCCGTTGTTGTGACCGAGGCCGGCCAGATGCAAGTCCTGGTCTCTTTTAGCTCGAATCAGAGCAATCATGTGGTCCACGGTCCAAAAATCCCTGCTTTTTGCTACCTCTCCTATCGACGTATCTCCCGCACCCTTCTTGCCTCTCCGCCCCGCGCGCGGTTGTGTAGACTTGTTTGTGGCCCTTGACCCTCCCCGCTTCCTCCCTATCGGACGAATCTCCATCTCCCCGTAGCCGTCCTCGTCGTTGTCATTGCTCTCGTCGCCTGCAGCGCAATCTTCGCCCCCTGCACCATCGCAATCGCCGAATACATCGTCCGCCCTCACATCAATGTTCGCCACCCCTCTCGTTATGGTGGACATGCTCGATTGACGCGATTGTCGCCGATGATCATCCCAAACCTTTCGTCCCACGACCTCTGCAGCAGAGCCCTCATCGTCGTCCTCTCGTCCGTCGATTCTACCAGTTGGCGTCGTCGATCCAGCTGTCCTCCTCCTCGACGCAGCCACACCTGCTGTGAGAGAGCAAGGAGAGAGAGAGAGAGAGAGAGAGAGAGAGAGAGAGAGAGAGAGAGAGAGAGAGCAAGGAGAATGTGCATCGCAGGGAGGCCGCACAGGCTAAAATCACCCAGCCACAGTGGCCTACTGTCGTTGTACGCAAGCAAGAGCGCAACAGAAATATGGGGCCACCGACAAATTTTTGCCATGCCCCGGTAGCCCCCTCACAGGCCCGAGGGGAATGCTCCAGAGCGCCTCCAACGGCGACAAGGGCGTGCTCAAACGATGGATGGTACCGGTAGGGGCATCTCAAAAATTTTCCTGCCGGCTTTTAACTGCCATCCAGTAGGGGCATCCCACAAATTAGGGACCGATACCAGTAGGGGGGTAACGAAAAGATTTGAGGACCAAACGACACCGAGGTCATATGGAAATTTTGAACCCTGCTCAGAGGGGCGCGACAGGGTAAATCGGCCATCGGAGGGGCGCGGAGCAAAATAACACAAATTACAAAGGCGCTAGAAAAATTTTCCCAAAAAATGTATTGACTTTCGAAAGAAAAAAAATAAAAAAAACCCACTTACCTTTGCCCGAGAGCTGTGGAGATCAAGGGCCTTGCTCCATTACTGACCAAATGTGCAACATGAGCATGAATCTTCTGGTAGAACACAGGTAGATACACTGCTAGTAGTTTAGAGCTTGAAATGCCCTTTTCCTGGCGGTGCAACCCTCAATAGCTTGCTATTCGTTTTTTAGTTTTTTTTTTTTTTTCCCTGCGATAGAAGAATCTGGGATCTGTCCAGCATCCTAGCTCAATTGGTTAGGCACGCAAGTGGCATTCAGGAGGTTGTGGGTTCAATCCCCACGGCCGCCTGTGGACTGACATAGTGAGCTGGATCCTCCCAGTCGGTATCAGTAAGGTCTCCAACCAACACGGGGGTGAGTGCACGTGTGGGTGGGTTGCGTGTGGTGTGTGGGAGAGTGTTGGCTTTGGACACTACCATCCAGAAGGCTGCCCATCCCCCACTTCGTAAGACCTTTGCCAAGCTTACTGTCTACTACATAAAGCATGCTACCCGAATGGCTGCGTCCCCGCGTTTGACGCAGTATAACAGTTTATAGTTTTTTTTTTTTTTTGGACAAATGTTCCAGTCTATTCGTGGGGAACAACACACTATGGACACTTTACCTGGTTCCGAGGCCTTGTTTATTTTTAGCCTGAAATTGGAACTCAGGCGCCGGTAGTTTCCGGACTACTACTTTAACAGGTCCCTTGTGTCCTTCAATTCTAGGTTAGGAGGGGTCCCCATGGGTCGAATGCTTCACAAGATGGAAATACTTGTAGCTACGAATTTACTCAGACTGGGCCTCTGTTTTCTGGTTCTTGGTCTGATGGACTTTTTTGAGGCTTCTAGGCTTTGCTGCTTAGTCCGAACTATAATCCCTTAGACTATAAGTTAGTTAGTTCTCATTTTTTCTATACCCAGCGCGCCCCTGAGGAGTGTCGGCTCACTGGCGAGCCGGCCGAAACAGGTGTCGGGCTCATTCACCAGTCGAGTTTCACGCTATGGCGGATTCTTCCGTCAATTTCGATTGTGCTTCACGTTGAATTTTATGCAAGCTGATGTGATCGGGGTTTCTGCATCTACTTCTTCCATTCTCCATCTCGACTTCTTTCTACTCCCCTTTCTCGTTTACCTTGAGTGTGTATTCACTTGGTTATGTCATACATTGGACTTTTCATTGTGACACGCACATAGCTAACCGACGGGGAATAGTACCTCGTTAGAGTGACTATGTCCATACTACAACATTTACAACGCTAACACTCTACACTCATCACTTTGGCTTCTCTCCTCTCTTCTCTTCGACTCACTCCTTCTCGAATCCCTTTCTTGCTTTCCATTCCCTCCTTCTTATTCCTCTCCCCTTCTTATCTGGTGTGGTGTTTTTTCTTCTCTTTCTCCATATCTACTCGATTCTGTGAGGACGTGTTTAGTCTTCGAAAATGAATAGGCAAAGTGTCTGTCACTTCTGCCACTTACCTGGGCACTTCATAAGAGAATGCTCGTTTCAGAACGTGCCTTATGGAGCTGAGATGGCAGCCAGGATTCTGAATAGCGTGCCTAGCTCATCGAACACCGGGGGGGGTGGTATACTGCAAGCACCTGCACAGGGAGTTGTGGCGGCCAGTACCTCCACTGCGATGGTTTTGTATCAAGCGCCTCAGAGTAGAGGTCATGGTGGCAACGAGAGGAACTACAATAACGACAACATGTTTACCAACAACGTCTATGGTGGAAGCTATAACAACGGTCAACGATATCAGAGGAACTGGTCTGATGGATCTAGGGATAGGGAGCAAGAAGATAAGGTCAACAAAATTTATGGGTTACTTTCAGAGTAGATGGATGAACGTGAGCAGAAGAAGAGGGAAACAGCTAGGCTGTTATCACTTGAAGAAGAGAAGAAGAAACTTTAGGAGGTTGAAGCAAGACGAGCAGAGGAGAAGAAAGAGAAGGAAGCGCAAGAAGCGGGACTATGACACATCATTCGGATCAAAGTCAAAGCGGTGTGTGAATCGACGTTGGGAAGGAAGGTTGAACTACCGGGCGACGAGGAGTCTGACATCAATAAGCTCCGTAGGGAAATGGATAAACTCAAGTCGAACTGCAATGTCGCTTCGAAGCCATCCCTCGACGCTCTACGCAAGGAGAAGGATGCTCTTGTGAAGGCGCAAGATCATTTCAGTGAAGAAGACAAACTTCGGATGGAGATCGAAGAGCTTAAGCTGAAGGCAGGACAACAGAAGTCGTTTGTGTCTCAACAGGACAAAGATGCCTTACTCACCCTGCAGATGCAGATTGACGAGTTGAACGAACTTAGGAAGGCTCTGGAAGCGAAGAGTTCCGAAGTCTCTTCCCTCAAGCAAAAGAACATGCATCTGAGGAACGAGTTTAGTAAGCTGAAGGATGAATTCATCCTTATTCGCAATGGGGGGAAGAGGAGTGTTAAAGGGGTGGTTGAGAGAAATCCGCCGGAGGCTCCATCGCGAGGAAAAACTAGAGGGTATATTGATGCAAGCGCGATGTAAACGCCCAAGGATATGGAGGGGCTATACAAAGCTTACAAAGAGGCGCTGGCTGCTAAGGAGATGGCATTGCAGGAGGCCGAGTGCCTCGAAGATCGGATGGCGAAAGTAGGTGCCTCAAGAATTCCCAAATCCATTAGGCGTACGACTACCGCGAAGAGAACAACTCCGAGGAACGTAAAATCTATCATGGATGTTGTCGAGGCGGATTCTGATGAAGACAATGAGAATGATGATAAGGATGGGGGCAAGATGAGGCAGGAGAAGGTTCACGGAGCTTCGAATGGTGCTCAAGAATTGGAGGAAACGAAGCTTCAGACCTTCCGTGAAAAAGACTCAAGGAATTACGTACGGGGAAGAAGCAAGATTTTGAGGCACTTTGTAAAGAGGTAGGTATATCCTATATTCGGTTGGACCAAGCTAAGGACGACATCGCCGAGATCCGAGCTAGACGAGACTTCGACGACTGGGTGAAGTCCAAATCTGCACATAGAGGATGATGATCATGATCAACAATACTCCACGTCAGTCGAAGAAAATATCGATGGCTAGGGGGAATCCCTGAGCGCATCATATTTATGGAATCTGGCTCTTTTCTGTAGGGATTACAAGAAGTTTTTACTGACGGATGAGGTATTGTATATTTTTCGGCTCATTGTTATTTTACTAATTGTCTTTGGTCAGATTAGGTGGGGGTTGAAATTTCGTTGCTTATTAGCTTCCTTAATTTGCTTTAATTACGATTTTCGCTCATGCCCAGGTCCAGTAGTCTATGCTATATTTTCACCCTGGTTCAAGCACGTATATATTGGTTGTACATCCTGTTCGATTGGTGCAAGATGAAAAGAATGTGTGGCCTCCACCTTGTCTTCTGGTGGTACTAGAGCTAATTGAAAATTATACCGCTGACTTTGAAGAGTTGATCTATACAACTATTTTGCTATCCCCCTGTTCCTTACTAATAATTCCGATCTGCTGACGTCTTAGAGTTTTTTCATCCGTTCCTTCGATCCTTCCCTCAACTCTCGCTCTCATCACCGGACGGGTCGACGCACTTGCCGTCCTGGTTTGAAAGAAAGACGACGTTATTCCCTTCGTAAACCTATTTCTTCCCCATCCCCAACCCTTTGTCCTCTAACCCCTTCTCCTCCTCCTCCTTCTCCTCCTCCTCCTCCTCCCCCGCCTCCTCTTCCTTCTCCTCCTCCTCCTTCCCCCCCTTCTCCCTTCTTCAATTCTCGACCTCCTCCTATGACTTCTATTACCCTCCTTTCCTCACCTGATTCCCCTCATCGGTCTATCCCCCCCCCTTCCCACTCCTCCTCTTGCTTCAAGTCTGTCATTCCCTTTCTTTTTTCATCATCCTTTGGCTTACAGTCCTTCAACTTTCTATCTATCCTTCGCTAGGTTGTTGACTCCAACACAGCTACACCCTTCTCCATCCAAATTTTGTCGGGTAGTCGCTTCGTCGATAACTGGAAACTTGTCAAACGTGTCTTTGGCTCTTCCCTTATCTCTTTCAACGACCAACCTTATGGCTTACTCAAACACTTCCGCCTCCAATTCCTTGTTGGTTGTTGTATTACGATCCGTAAACTCCATCTCTTCTGTTTCAACTCTCTTGTGAACAAGAGTCAACTGATTCTTTTGCTTAGTAATCCTTCTACTCAACGAGAACTTGGCAGTTGGGATTTGGACCGTTTTATCTCCGCTTATGATGACATTCGTTCTATCTCTTACAAACGTTCACGCACCACTCTGAAACCGGTGCTATCTCATGCGTGTAGGAAGAAATTTAACTTGTGCCTATCTGCGAAATTTGTTAT